GCAGTAAGCCTGCTATAAAAGGAAGTCGGACAAGAGTCCGTTCTGTTCATTCAGGCAGCACGTCCTGTATAAGAAGAGGCGCTGCTGAGTCAAAGGGAGAGAAAGGAAGGGAGAATCTGGGCTCTGCAGCCTCTCAGGGCCTTCCAGCTGCACAGCTAGCTGACCAAGCTTACCACCAGGTTATGAATACACAAAATGCAAAATCACAGAAGGCAGGTGCATTTCCCAGACACCGTCAAGAGACTGCAAACAAGCAGCATCATGGTGAAAGCTCCAAAAAAGAGTAAGGTGGACAAAATGAACACATGTGTACAGGGGATGGGCCTGCAATACACTACAGGCCCAGCAAGCCCAGCCCCGCATCATGACTGCTGATTTAGAGCCGGGACTCCAGTCCGGTGCTGGCCAAATGTGAGAGGCACAGTCTCTTCAGTGATGCAGACCAAAGTCTGAGAACCAATGATTAAACTTCCACAACCCAAACCAAACTAGATTGGGTCCTAGGAGAACAGTTTGCCTTCTTCCAGAAACCACGTTACTGAGTAGAACAGGTGAGACAACAGGGACCACCCAACCACGGGATTTACTGTCTCTGTTGCCCATGACAGTCAATGGGAGGGAAAGCAAGTCTGCAGGACCGACTTAACCCTTTTATGTGTAATTCAAAATCTTCCCCTTATGTCTTCATTTGCATTCTGAGTACGAATTTTTAGATCATTCCCCCAAATTAAGCTGTGTATGACTCAGCTATGTATGACTCAGCTATGTATGACTCCACCTTTGATTCCTATTTAGTTAATTTGCATGTTTGATCTTGTTTTAATGTCTTTAGCATGACAAGCAGACCTAGTTGCCAGAGTGACCAGGAAAAGTATTTAAACAGTTTAGCCTTTACCTTAACCCTACTTGGTCAATCTCACTGTGTTCTTGGCTCACCTACCATTTGTGGTCACAAGAATGCAAAACAGTGCAGTTCTGCTGGCTGCTCTTCCCTGTTTGCCTCTCCATTATTAAGTCTCATGAACCTGTTGACCATCTCCTAGGTTTACCATCATAATTCATTGTATTTTCACTAGCTAACCTTGCTGCCTTCACTCCCTCCTTTGATGAACTCTGCCCACTAATCAAAGCCCACCACCCAGTTTTTCTGACTCCAGAACCCTGCTTCTAGAGAGGTGGGTGGGCTGCTTTACGCACAGGCCCAAGTAGGGTTCACAGCGCAGTTCTGGAAAGCAGCCCTGGCCTGGAAACAGGAAGCCTGGTTCTGGCCTTTCCTCTGAGAAGACCATCTTGGGCAAGTCCCTTCTCTCTCTGGGCCCCGTCTGCTCTTTATATAAGGGGGGGACACAGTGACTCTCAGTCTCTCCAGCTGAGGCACCCCAGGGTTCGCTGGCTTTCCTGTCAGACAAGTGATCACACAAGTATGGACTTCCGGGGGGTGGTACCAGCTTTGCAAGCCCTGGCGCCACTGCCCACACACCATGAGCATACCAGTTCTTCAACTGTGGTCCCTACTATCGATTTTACTACTAGTTGAGGGGGCCTGGAGAGGGTTTCCTGTCTGGTTTCTCCATAATCACACAGCTATTTAGAACATGTAGTCCCAGGTAGGACTGGGATCCTAGCATCCAAATGCCCAGCCCTTTTAAGCTGTAAGAGATCACGCCAGGTCAGTAGAAGGGCCAGGCACACTGGGATCGGTACATGTTTGTTGAGTGAATAGACATTGTGATTTCTCTACCACAGGAGACCGATCCAATGAACACAGCTCAGGACTGAAATGAAGAAACCAATTCCTTCTGCAGCTCCTGTCCTCAAGCTAGCTGTGTAATGCCTGAAGTACACCAAATGACTGAGCGGCACTTTCTTGGAACTGCGTTATTTTTAAAGCTCTATTGCGGAACCTCTATTGGAACACCCTTCCCTTGCCCTTACACCAGATACTCAGGAATCCATCCATGTGACTCTAGCAAGTCAGAGACCTGGAGTTAAATCCCAGCTCCTTCACTTACAAGCTAAGTGGTTTAAGCTTCAGTTTCCTCTTGTATAAATTGGGGCAGAGTAAATTCTTAATTAGGTTGTTGATTGAATAAGAAACCTACATCTCTAAAATTATTGAGAATAGCACTTGCTGTTAGCTAATTAGCAAAATCCTGTTGGATCACTCTTCTCATCTAGTACTCCTGTTGGGTGGGAATTACCATACTCACAGTCATTTACACATCAGAGAAATGAGACCCAGAGAAACTGTCTCCCACGTTCTCACAACTGGTAAACTGCATGGCCAGTGGTTGAACCCAGGTCAGGCACACTGCCCCCGGAAGACAAGTAGTAAGTGAGGCACGTTTGGAAGTCCCAGTAGTGCACGGGAAGAGTCTCACACACTTGGCCCTGGCCTCTCTCTCCCTGCAGCATCTGAGGCTCCCCAAGGGCAGCTGTAAGGGAATCAAGAGCTTGGCACCATGCACACGGGAGCTCCAGATACTGTCTTTTCTGTTGAATGGAGCCAGCTTTGTAGGCCTTGTCATCCATTTTCACTTGATGCCAACACTGCATGATTTCAAAATGTCTTTTCCATTCTGGACATTAGCACCTGAAAAAAAAATGCGTCTATACTAGGACAGGTGTGAAAAGAAGCTATGACGTGTTGCGCCTCTCCCAGAACAGATCTCGCCTGTGTTCAGGGCACTATTGTGCCCAGAGATCCTGGTCTTTCCATCCCCCAGCAGTCTCAGGGGTTCGCCCTTTCCTTTTGTTGGTTGTTCCCCGATGACTTAAAAGGCTCAACCCAAGTTGCATTATCATGTGACTCATTTTCCCAGTTTTAACCAATTAGAGCTTCTGCTCAGCATGTGCTGGCCTGTGTCCATCGCTCAGAGGTGGCTAGAGTTATAGCCCAGTCAAAGGAGCTCGAGGATTCTTTGGGCTAAGTAAGAGAGCCTTAATGAAGGTGAAGATCTAATTTGTTAGGCTTTCAGAATTAATATAAATGGCTCCAGAAACAACAGTCTAGGAATCTCTATTAAAAAAGAAAGCGACACAAAATACAGTATATGCCTACAATGGAATATTATTCAGCCTCAGAAAGGAAGGACATTCTGACACATGCTACATGAACCTTGAGGACATTATGCTGAGTGGAGTCAGTCAGTCACAGAAGGACAAATACTTATGATCCCACTTATACTAAGTACTTAGCATCAAATTTATAGAGACACAAATCAGAATGGTAGTGCTAGGGGCTGAGGGGAAGGAGGAGGTTATTATTTGGTGGCCTTAGTTTCTGTTTTATAAGATAAAAAGGGCACTGGAAATGGGCAGTGGTGATGGTTGAACAACAATATGAATGTACTTAATACCACTGCTGTGAACACTTCAAAAGGGTTAAGATGGTACATTTTGTTATGTGTATTTTACCATTTTTAAAAATTGAAAAAATAAAAAGGAACAGCTTGAACACTAAGACTGTATTAGCATTGCATCATCAGAGCCAGAAGGAGCTACATAATAGATGTTGTACATCTGTATGTCCAACCCCCCATTTTCCTTCTGCTGAATGAAGCATCTCCTTGCTCTGCCAAAATAGCATTTTCTTATAAATCACTAGCTCAGAAAATTCAGTGACTTTCCACTATCAGTCCACTAGAGACCACTGCTACGCAGACAGGGCACTGTGCAGAGAGAATGCACCCCTGACAACACAACAGCTCCCCCAAGTGGCTTCAACAGCTCCCCTAGAGGAAAACAGACCCTTCTGGACAGAGGGACAGATTTCTTTTCCAAATTGAAAGTGTGACTTTTAGCTGTTACTGATACCACCAACCTGAATATCAGAAAATAAAATCCATTACAGATACTATCATCTTTAAGTTCTTCCAAATGAAACTGAGACATTCTCTACGAAATTGCTAAATGAAGCTATCTATTTCATGCAATGAGCAATTCCCGGAACCCAAGGGAATCTATTTTCATCAGGTCTCCCAACAATTTCCCATTTGTTAGGACTTACAAGAGCATGCTCACCCATATATGGCCCTAAGAAATCTTTTTTAAAGATACATACTTCCATCATTTAAATTGGCACTCTGGACTTAAATTTACTTTACAGCCAAGACTTTAAAATAAACACTTACAAAACTGCTTACCTGTTCTAGAAATTCTTTTTAAGCTTTGTTGTTAAAATTATTTGTTTTTTAACTAATACACCTCTTTATCATGTTGTGATTCTGCTGGACAACTAAGGGGATTTCCCATGGACCTTACTCCTTAGAAAATCTGGCGTAGAGTCCCAGACACCTGAACTATGCACCTTTAGGTTATTCTTGGTGTTTCCTAGGGTCTACCAGAGACTGAATGCTTATGCCCAGAATGGCAGCATAAGCTAAGTGAAACCTCAACATTTTTTATTTTTTGTTTGGAAGTATATCGACTCAGTTTGGAAATGCTGATACCTCGCTCGGATTAAAAAGTCCTTAATTTTCAAAATGAAAACAAAATTTTATTTGAAAAATCCAACTTATCAAATGTATTCTTCAAAATAGGTTTAGCAACAAGTGATAAATAGATAGAAATCCCTGGTCTACACTCACAGAATTAAGAGATGGGAGACAGAAGAGGCAAAAATATCATCTGTGGTTTTAGAGACAAAGAACGGAACAAGCAAACATTTCATCCAAGATTTCTAATTCATGACTTCTGTGACTATTCCCCTGGGTACCAGCTGTCTTTGAATACAGATCTGCCTCATGGAGCCATAGGCACATTCCTTGAAAACCACAGAACACCCAAATGCCAACCACCAGGAAGAATACCTAGAAGAAAACAAGCCAAGGCCAATTACAGGACCTTGGATTTGAATGATTACATGTTCATATAAGGAACTGTCAATCCAACAAAGAAAACAAGCTCCATAAGACATATTTTCTACATATTTACTTGTAATCAAAAGGCAGAGAGATTAACAGGTATCAAACTTGGTATAAATGAATTAATCAGACTTGGTATAAATGAATTAAAAAGTTTATTAGCCATAGAAAAAAATTGATTCCTTAAAATCAGTTCTCATTAAGTTCCCTGTAAAACAGTAAGCTTACAGAAAATTTCTTTCTCATGAACAGACAATCACTATGCTTTTGGTCCAAGATATACTGGGTTGTTTTTTTTATTCCTTCTTCAGATGACAGACAGATGGACGTAGCCAAATCTATGAACGAGTGTACTTGCCCCAAATGTGCAACATAAATACAGAAGCGATGAACAGCAGACTCATAACCAACACTGGAACAGGGCCACTGAAAAGAAGAAGAAAAGGCATGCTTACTTTTAGTAATAATACATTACTATATTTCTAATACTAAAGATTGCCTGTCAGGGGGAGATGGGGAGAAGACCACCTAAGATTCATCCAAGAATATTATTTGCACCATTTAAAAATATTCCCAGGCCCTGGCCAGTGTCTCAGTGGTTAGAGTGTCAGCCTGCAGACCAAAGAGTCGTGGGTTCGATTCCCAGTCAAGGGCACATAACTGAGTTGAAGGTTCAATCCCTGTCCCTGGTTGGGGTGCATGCAGGAGGCAACCAATCATTATCTCTCTCTCACATTGGTGTTTCTCTCTCTGCTCCTTCTCCTTCCCTCCCTCCTTTCCATTCTCTCTAAAAATCAATGGAAAAAATATCCTTGGGTGAGGACTTAAAAAAAAATGTATTTTTCCCCCCAGAATCATTATTGTGGATATTTTGAAGGTATGGAGTCAGCATTGTGGTTATTTAGATAGGAGGAGTCCTTATCTTTAAGTAAAACATACTAAAATTATACAAATAAAATGATCTGATATCTTGAAGACACTAGTCTCTCTAATTTCATGTATTCAGTATTTTCCATAATAAAAAGAAAAACTTCCCCAAAGTCCTTCAGTGCAAATGATCCAATATAAAACTACTATTTCAAAGTAAGACTTATTCAAAGCCAACCTTCATTGTCTAACTACAATATACTAGGCCTACAAAGATGAAAATCTTAAGTTACAAAGTGTTTTCAAATATATGATCCCACTGATTAACAAACTTGTGACATAAACAAAACAAATATTTCATTTTATAGATAAGTAAAACTGAGGCCAGAGATCATTACTTGCCTAAGAACACAGCCAGATGAAAGGAGAGATCTGAACTCAGGGGTTCTGGTTTCACACATACTGCTCATTTTACTGCTTCAAGATTCCCATCTTCAAGGACAAAACATTCTAGGCAACATGTGTTAAGTCTGATTCATACTTACGAGTTTACTGTAGGAAGGAAATAGATTTTACCTATCAGCCCTTCTTTAAATCATTGACTTTAGTGAAATGTTATGGGCCCTGCCCTTTTGACTCTTCCTGTCAACACCAGTTTTGAAGAATTCAAGATGTCACTTCACCTCCCAGATACAACTAGGGAGTCCACAGTGGAATAGACCCCAGAAATCTTTGTGATTAAGGCAGTGGAGTAACCCAGTGGCACAGTAGAGTAACAGAGTCCACTAGTGGACAATGCACAGAGACCAATGTTCTTGCTATACTATTTTGTTCTTCCAAAATTTGTACAATTACAGGAGTAAACAAATTTAAAAATACATGGGAAGAGCCCTGGCCGGTGCTCAGTGGTTAGAGCACCGGCCCATGGACCAGAGAGTCCCAGGTTCGGTTCCCGCTAAGGGCACGTACCTCGGTTGCAGTTTGCCCCTGTCCCACTGGGGTCGTGTGGGTGGAAACCACTTGATGTGTCTCTCTCACATCAATGTTTCTCTCTCTCTTTCTCCCTTTCTCCCTCCCACTCTATCTGAAGATAAATGCAAACATGTCCTCGGGTAAGGGAGAAAAAAAAAAAAATACATGGGAAGAGACTTTTATCATGTTGCACTCAATCAAAGCCCCTGCTTTAAAGCAATGTTATAGTAACATCAGCCACAGAGCATAAAGCTGAAAATGGAGCTCTCAGAGTCCAAGTGCCAGAGTTTGCAAACCAACTCCATCATTTATGAGCTGTGACTGCGGCCTTATTACTTACCTTCTCCAAGCCTCAGTTTCATCATCTGTAAAGATGATCATACTACCTCTCTCATAGTTACTGAGGTATTAAATAAACAACCAATGCAAGCTTACTAATAAGCTCACAGAAAATGATACCACTATCAACCTGAAAAAAATTCTAAACTCCTATAAGAGCCAACAACAAACTCTAAGATGTTACTTGACTGCTCCAAGATGTGGATTTGTGGATACAAATTCCCAACTGTGTCCTTTTACCATCTCTCCAGTGTCATGAGACTGAGCTTTAGCTTTACGACACTCTGAGGAACTGTTTGTAGCAATTCCTGGGAGTCCTCAAGCAGTGGCAACACGCAAGCCTGGCTGCACACCAGCAGAAAGCCCAGAGCCAGCACAAGCCAGACCCCCACAGGAGAACAGCTTTTACCACCTTCTTAAGAAAGGTTTAAAAGGAGTCCCCTGGATACCCTAAAGAGCAAGGCACTTTAAAATCTCTCTGAAATACTCAGAAAAATTAGCTTTAATGAAGACCCGAAGGTTGTCTAAATGCTGCCAACGCATATATCCTGACCCCAAGAATGAATTACTGAATACATTCTCACCTTACCATACAAGTCTTTAAATTTGTGATCCAAGCCAAGCTATTGGTCAATTAAACTAATCCAAATAAATCTAATTTTGTCTCTTTTCTACCAGACAGACAGATGGAGCACAGGACTGGACAGTCAGAAGCTCTGGCCCCAGCTCTCGCTAGAAATGAGCTTTTCCTCTCTAAACCTGAGCTTCTGAACCTGCAGGGCTATGCGAGTAAGAGTTGTCATTATTCCAATTCCTTATCCAATTTCTGGGTCGAATCAGGAACCAGCCGTAAACAGTAGCGTCCTAGAGCCGACTTGATCAGAAACCTGTGAGATTTGGTCTGCCACACAGTACCAGAAACCCTGGAGAATGAGGTGAGCAAGACATGGGGACAGGGGTTCCCCAAATGCCTATTTCCCATCATTTTATGAGCACTCTGAGGCCTACAAACTTGGGAAGTGGTATGTTCACCCCAAAGTCTACTCACCACCCACAAAAGGCAAGAAGGCCAAAGAACTTTTGTAACACGGTCTAATGCAGAAACTTCCATATCAGCTTATGCTTCCACCTTGTATTCAAATGATTACTCCTCTTCCTTAGTGTGGGACAAGAATGCCAAATGAAGAGCAATTTCATCTGATTAAGCAGTTTGCCCTCCAGTTCTCTCTGTTCCCATCATCTATTTGGGCCTAGCTACATGAAGATCTTCCCTCGCTTTCACTCAGCCCACGAAGAGATACCATTCCAGGCCCTACACTAAGTGGTTGATACATGGACACACCAAACCCAGCCCGCCTGGCACAAATGACGCCATGTGTACTGGAAATCTCATCAAAGCCAGCACCACGGTGGCAGAGAGAGTGCTGCCAAACAGCTCTGTGAACTGGCCAGAAACACACGGTCTGCTCCCAGACTTACACTTTGAGGCCAGGAGAATCTTCTGTGTAGAACCGCCACATCCCCCCAGTGCCTGCTGAGGTCGTGCGGCCTGCGCTCCTTGTTCCACAACTGGCATTTTTCCTGTTAAGAGAAAAAATGTTACAAACAGCCTTTTGGGGAAACTCTTTTAATGGCATTATAACATATGCCACCATTGCACTGTTAAAGAACCAAAACAGGTAAATACTTTTCCTTTTGTTAGGACACCCAAGTTCTTGTTTTCACTCCACTGGCCATGATAACCACCATGAACTGAGTACCTGCCAGATGCAACCCATACAACCCTGGAAAATCGTTACCATTTCTGTTTTATAAAAGAAGAAAATGAGGCTCAGAAAAGATTAAGCAAAGTGCCTACCTACAGCCACACAGGCAGCAGGTAGCTAAGCTGGGCTGAGGGCCCAGTTCTGACTCCAGAGCCCATCCACTTGCCCAAACATATGGGCACCTCATATGGAAAATGTATTTCAATTTCTCCTCACATGTATCGGTGAAGTCAAGTAACAAACCGTTACTTTAAAATGCCCGGAATCTATATACAGTGCACCTCTGAACAGCATGGGCTTGAACTATACTGTGTAGGTTGGTCCACTTACACGAAGTTCTTTTTTTCCCAATACCATTAAATGTATTTTCTCTTCTTTATGATTTTTTAAATAACATTTTGTTTTCTCTAGCTTACTTTATTGTAAGAATACAGTATAACGTATATAACATAAAAAATGTGTTAATCAAATGTTTATGTTATCAATAAGGCTTCTGGCCAACAGTAGTCTATTAGTAGTTAAGGTTTTGAGGAATCAAAAGTATACGTGGATTTTTTACTACAGGGGAAGGGGGAGGTGCCCCTAAACCCCATGTTGTTCAAGGGTCAACTGTAATCTGACTTTTAAATTACTTAAAAATATTTTTAAATTACTGTATTTGCTACTAAAGAGACAAAAATATTAAGATTTAATTATAATCCAGGTCCCAAAATGGAACATACATTTTACAAGAAATTATTTTGTAATCTGTTTTCACTATTTTGATATATCCTAAATCCTGGACGGAGAGACAGGATATGAAAATGTGCCCTCACAAGGAGCTCAAGGCTCGCGAGCTGGGCTGTGTGAGGCCTCGGCCCTGGCGTACAGAAGCAGCCGGACAGCACCTACACCACCGGCCAGGAGCAGGCCTGGGGAGCCCTGTGGCTCCCCTCCTCGGTCACGGGGCGGCCCCCCAACAACAACTCTTCGGTGAAGCACTACTCCAATCCCACTTCTCATCTCACCCAGCGCTGCAGCGCTACAGCCTGGGCATGAGTAGTACGTGTGAGAGGAGAAGCTGGAAGAAACCTTCGTCAGCCCGTTCATAAGAAATCCTAGGTAAGGGGAAAGGAAGAGAAGAGGGAAACTCGGTCCCATTACTGTCCCTCATCATTAACCAAATTCCAGTACCCCCTCCCTTCACATTCCATCCCAGTTATCTGTGGGTTAGGAGAAAACAGAAGTGAAAACTTTATCCCTGCCATCTCTTCTCACTGCCCTCCCAAATCTGATCCTAGCCCCACCTCGCCCTGCCATGCTGTCCCCCACACTCCAATGCCAGAGCAGGGAGCATGCCCTGCTGCACGGATTGAAAGCGTGGAGTCTTGGTTCCAGTCTGGGTTCCAGCAGAAGAGCTGTGTTCGTGCTAGAACCTTGAGGGTAGTCAGTGTCAAACAATGATTTCGGTTTACTGTCCTAAAAAGATTATATTTCAGACACATTAATTATAGGTTTTATGGTGGCCTGGGAATGTATAGCTCCATTTGTATGACTGTTTCAGGGCTGGAATGGGAAAACCGATTGTAAACAGCAAACATATGGCACAGGGATTTACAGAGTAATCCATATACCTAGAAGAGCTTCCACACACAGATACATACTTTTAACCTGTGGGGTGGGCACCTGAAATTTTCCTCCTTGTTCATAAAAGGGAACTTGAGTTAGACAGTAAACCCAGTGTGGACACAGTAAATCATGGGCTGGGGCAGGACTAGGACCCATGTGCTTCCCACTATTCTCACAACCTCCCAACTTTAGGTCCTGTCTTCAAAGTCTCCTGGAATTGCAGGAGTTCGAAAGAAGCAGTCTGGCCTCTTGTAAGATTTCTTACATCGACTGGCACATGGAACACAAAAGAGTTTAAAAGTCGGGACTCCTAGAAATACCAAAAGTATTCAAAATACCTCCCATCGCCTCCCCACTGGGAAGTAGGCAGAGGATAATAGAGCCCACTTGCCTCTCTACTTGGGGTCTATTTTACCCCTTTTTCTCTGGCCACTGTGTAACTGCCTCCCTCTTCCTATACCTTAACACGATGGTTTCCACAACTGACTTTTTTTTTTTAATCCTCACCTGAGGACATTTTTCCATATTTTGTTCAGATAGAGTGGGAGGGGGGGGAGAGAGAGAGAGAGAGAGAGAAACATCGACGTGAAAGGGACACATCAAGTGGCTGCCACCTGCATGACCAACCAGGCAACCAGGGCCGGGAACAAACTGCAACCAAGGTACATGCCCTTAGCGGGAACTGAACCTGGGTCTCTCTGGACTGACCACAGGCTGATGCTCTAACTGCTGAGCCAAACTGGCCAGGGCTCCACAACTGACTTTTTATGTACTTTGTTCTAACATGATGGCCTCCTGGCCGCTCCTCAAAGTCAACCTCATTCCCACCTCAGAGTCTTTACACTGAACCGTTCCTTCTGTCTAGGAAGGGCTGTTCCTCCCCGGACCGTCGCATGATTTCCTCCCTTGCTTCTGTCAGGTCTCCACTTAAAAGGTCACGTACTCTGACCACCCTGTCTAAAACAGCTGTCCACCCACACCCTAACCCACCACTCTCGATCCCCTACCCAGCATTACTTTTCTGCATAGCCTGTCTTGCTTGAAATTACATTATTTATTTATTTATTTATTTGCCTTGCTTATGGTCTCCCATACTGGAATATAAGGTTCATAAGGCCAAACCCTGATTATCTTGTTCACAGATATATCCTCAGAGCTGGTACAATGCCTGGCATGTACCCTCAATAACTATTTGATGACAACCTTAATATCCCTGGCTATTCCTTCATCTTAATATCCCTGATTCCCATTAACCCTGCTTGAACACTGGAGCATTTTACAGCTTTATAGTATACAATGCATTATTGCTCCTTTTCATCCTCATAGCAATCTCCTTTTATACTCTACTAAAGACAGCAAGGACTCCACCCCTGATCTGACCCGAAATCCCTTGTTTCTTCTCCAAGGTACTATCTCTACTGCCTCACTGAGCATGGAAAGAGAATGCAAATGTGCACACCACATAATCCAAAGCATTATCTTCAACTTTTCCGTATAGACTTACAAAGCAAGATATTGTCTTAGCCAGCCAACACCTATTACATCACACGCATTAAGTAACACTTAAAGGGTGCCAAAACTCTGGAAGGAAACACTGTAGTCTCTCTCAGTATGTACAACCATGGTCTGTCTACTTACTCTAGCGCCAGCCATACTGAACTCTAAATGGCATCAACACCCACAACTTGAAAAGCTGCACCTGTTGTCAAATGTTTAAGTTCCTCCACTTCACTTGGCAGCAGTTTTTTCATTTTTATTACATAAATATGTTATTTCATTATCTTATTTACACATGATAAACATGTGACTTTGTGTGTTTTTTCTTTAAAAATTCTCAGATGGCCAAAGTTCCCTGCCACAGTACTATCATTTCTTATTAACCAGATCCACTTTCTAAGGAACCATACCTACAGGACATGTTTCCATTCCAGCACAAAGAATCTCTGAATACAACATGGAAAGGCGACAGCGATCCAAACCCGTATAACCCAAGCAGTCTGACATACTTTCTAGCTGGTCCATCCCAGCCTTCCCTTGAACATCGCAGTGACAAGGAAATCTCAATGGTTCAGGACAGTCTTACCATTTCACACAACTATATCAGAATTGCTTTCCTTCGAGCTAAAATCTGTCTCATGTCAATTCAAGTTATGAGTTTTATATTTAGCTACTGTAGCCAACAAGAATAATCTCATCACTCTTCACATCCTTATGAACAGTTTTCATGTATCCCTTCAAGGTCTTACCCTCTCTAGATAAAACCCTACTAGTTCCTTCAAAAATCCCAAGACAACAGGGTTGCTTGATTCCTTTCTTCCTTTATCATTTATTATATAAGGTCTCACAGTAGAACAGAGATGGACTTAGGCAGTTTCTTTCAAAGTCTAATACAGAAACAAATGATATTACCTTGACATGAACAAAATACTTTGAGAGCAAAAGGGAAAGCTACTTTTGGAGGAAGGCCTCAGCAGGAAATAAGCTCTGGGCTTAGTCTTAAGAGAATAAATAGATATGGGGGGGGGGAGGGGGCCTGTTCAGAGAACAGTAATAACTTCATTAATGCTGAATCAAAGGAGAGAGAAGAAAGGCTGATAGGCTGAAAAAAATCACCAAGAATCATGCTACCCCTCCTTTTTTTTAAGTTCAGCAAAAAGAAACTAAGCAGAAGAGTGACAGAACCAGAGCACAGGATAGACTGGAATGGAAATGGCCTGGAGAGTAGAAAAGTTATGTAGAAAATGCAAAAATCTAGATGAGATAAGTTGATGGCTTAACTAGGGCAGTAGAAATGGAGACAGAAAAGAAATGGCAAACAGGTTTCTGTGTATAATTTAAAGTCTGACAAATGACTGGACAGAGATAGAGCATAAGAGAAATCCAAGAAGACATTGAAGTTTTGGCTCTGGGTGAACGAGTGTGGAGCAGTACCATATGGAAGTACACAAATTAGCTGAGGGCGGGGTGGGGACAGTCAGAGATGAGCTTTGTGTCCAACAAGTCTTAAATTGAGTGTGTGTGGACCTGCAGAAATGTGGGTGCAGCCCTGGCCGGTTTGGCTCAGCGATTTTGGAGCATCGCCCTTCGGACCAGAGAGTCCCGGATTGGGTTCCCCCTAGAGGCACGTACCAAAAAAAAAAAAAAAAAGAAATGTGGGTGCAAAGCTCAGGTCCAGAGACACCAGTTCAATGATACAGTTTTCTCAAGTTGTCTCTAACCCTATTCCAATTTAACTTTCCTATTTTTTTATTTTTATTTTTCTTTATTGATTTTGGAAAGGAAGGGAGCGGGAGAGAGAGAGAGAAACATCAATGAGAGAGAGCATCAATTGGCTGCCTCTTGCATGCCCCCACTGGGGATCGGGCCCACAACATGCCCTGACCGGAAATCAACTGGCAACCTCTTAGTGCGCGGGTGGATGCTCATCCACTGAGCCACACTAGCTGGACTAACTTTCCTATTTTTAAGTGGTCGTCGAAACTGTGCAATGAGAAGAAAACGTTACCTTCCTTCCTAGACACAAAAGGCCAAAAAGGCTTTGGCTCCCATGGCCACGTCACCCGAGGCTCACTCTGTCTTGTGAATTTCGGTACTCTGGGGTCTCCTTCTAGGACCAGCGGATTCTTGGGCCTCATCTCTCCCAGCCCACAGCCAAGAGGGTCGCAGGGATCCTTACCTCTGCCGGACCGTGGAACCCGCCGCCCGGGCGGCCACTGCTTTACTGGGAGAGCGTCCCGAGGAGCCCACGTTAGTGCCACTGGGGGTCGGACCAGGCTGTGGAGGAAGATAAGGAGGCAGACGGGTGAGAGCCACCCGCCAGACCCCGGACCCCAGACCCCAGGCCCTGACAGCCAAGACTGGCACCTGCACGGGAAGGTGGGGAAAGCAAGGGAGTCAAGCAAGCAGGGCAAGGCGTAAGGCAGAAGTCAGGGCGCCTGCGAGAGACGGGGAGTAAGAGGGACGGCTGAGGTCACCATACCATGCTGGAAAGTGGAGGGTGGCAAGGGACCGGAGCAGACAGCTGGGAAGCGGTGCAGCACTCCCAGGAGTGGTGTCTGGAGGAACTGTTCAGGCCCCGCCCGCAGAACTGCTGGCAGGGTCTCTGGCTCCAAGGACGCCTGGGTCGTCCTACTACATGCCTTGTAGAAATTTTGCTACAGGCGACTTGGGCAGCTGCTGTGTGGGAAGTACAGATCTTCCGTCTTCTTCCTTTATATCACAGCGCCCTGCACAGAGTCCAGGTCCTACCAAGGGGAAGATATCGCCATGGTCAGAGGAGAGATTTTTCTCGGGCAGTTACTAGGCGTCCACAGATTTGTGCTGATGTGGCCTAAGCTACGCACGCGCGCCGCGGGGCGTGGTCAGCCCCGCCAGCTGGGAGCGGCGGAAGGAGCATGCGCATAAGTGCTTAAGGGCGCGGGGCGGCGCCGGCGCGACGCCTGGGCCATGGCGGAGAAGCAGGCTCGGGATGAGTTGGGCCCCAACCCGTCCGTGCTGTTCCTGCACCCAGACCTCGGCGTAGGCGGCGCGGAGCGGCTGGTGCTGGATGCGGCGCTGGCGCTGCAGGCGCGTGGCTGTAGCGTGAAGATCTGGACCGCACACTACGACCCGGGCCACTGCTTCGCGGAAAGCCGCGAACTGCCCATCCGCTGCGCGGGGGACTGGCTGCCGCGCAGCCTGGGTTGGGGCGGCCGCGGCGCCGCGGTGTGTGCCTACGTGCGCATGATTTTCCTGGCTCTCTACGTGCTGTTCCTCGGGGACGAGGAGTTCGACGTGGTCGTGTGCGACCAGGTGAGGTGACCACTCCGGGGCCTCGCCACGCCTTTTTTTTACTGAAGTTCACACTGCTTGACCTCTGATGACCCCTCCCGGTCTGCGGTTGGGAAAGATTGGAACTGATCTGGAGAGATCAGAGCTGGGAGTGACTGTAGGTCTCGAACTTCAGTGTGAACACATTTAAGTTGCGCACTACAGGGCCCCACCCTAAGAAGTTTCATCCAGGACCCCTGAGATGGGGCGCTGAAATCTACATTTTTCACTGGCACATCAGGTGATTCTGAAACACGTGGGCCTTGGGGCTCACCCCAAGACATAAGCATTAGAAGTCAGCCTTCAGTCACCTTTTACTTCTGAGTAACTCATGTCTTTCCTCCGCATTATTTCTGTTGACACTATTTCTAGGTCATGTGCATCACACTGTCTATAGCCTTTGCATCCAGGTCACCCCACTCCTCAGCAGTGTCATGTATTAAAACACCAAGCTACACATGGCATGTCCCCATTAAAACTTGAACACGGCTCTCCATTAGTCTTTGTAGAAAAGACCAAATTATTTTGCTTGATAAAGAATGTCCACCTGGGTCTGGGCTCTAACTATTCTAGACTCCTTGTCTTTCCCCCACCCCAACCTCAAAATTTTTTATTTTATTTTTAAAAGTAACATTTACTAGGACTAAAAAGTCAAGTAGTATAAAGAGTATAATATAAAAGTCCTATTCTAGTTCCTCTCCCTAAAGATAGTCACTGTTAACAGTTTCTCCTGTATCCTTACAGAAATTGCCTGGCTATACCAGCATGTGTGTCTGTTCATAGATGAATCTTACTTGTAATAATCAGAATTATGGTACTATCGGACAACTTGCTTTTTGTCACCCAAAATTTCTATTTGGGACACCTCATATATCAATATTAGAAAGTCACTTCATTCTTTGTAGTGGCTAGAAAATCTGCTCTCTTTTTTGTTTGTTTTAATGTGCCATAATTTATACATCATTTTTTAAAGGTCACTAAAATTGTGACCATTTTTTTTTATGAATAGATCAGGTTTACAATGAACCACCTTGTACTTTTTTTTAATAAAAAAAATTTTTTATTGACTTTAGAGAGAGGAAGGGAGAAGGAGAGAGAGAGAGAAACATCAATGAGAGAGAACATCTATTGGCTGCCTCCTGCATGCCCCCTACTGGGGACAGTGCCCACAACCTGGGCATGTGTCCTGATCGGGAATTGAACTGTGACCTCTTGGTGCATGGGTTGACGCTCAACCACTGAGCCACACCAGTCCGGCTGGACCTTCTCTTTGTACTTCCTCAAGTATGTCCTTTGGGTAACTTACCAGAATAAAAGTAGTAGGTCTAAGAGTTGTTAATTTTAATTGTCGATAGCTATTGTTAAATTTGCCTTCCAACAAGGTTGTTTCACTTTACTCTCCCACGTGTATGATAAGAGCATTTTGCTCCATGCTCCACCACACATTGGATGTTATCAACCATTTTAAATCTTGGCCACACTGATGGGGGAAATGCCATCACATTTGTATTTGTGTTTCTTTAATTATGACTCCTGAGTTACTTTTGATCATCTTTGCTTGCATGGAAGATACTTCTTTTTGAGAAATGTGGACATTTTTCCAAACTCCCTGCGTGCCTAACTAGTTAATAAGTATGAGGCAGCTGAGACTGCAGCGGATAGAGAAAAAACTGAGCTAGGAAGTAGGCACCTGGATTCAAGTTCCATTTATCTTCTACTTTCTACCTAAGTAGCTTTGGAAAGCTCACTTTCTGGTGTTATGTGAGCTGGAGATTAAGTGATTTATAAGATTATCCAACAGGAAAGTTTAGTAATGCCAGCATGTAGTTCATGTTCAGTAATGATTATGGTTAATATTTATTGAGCACATTTTATGTGCTAAATTCTTAAACGTTTTACATATCCCATTGCATTTAATAATCACAAAAAGAAAATATGTGGTTTTTGGTACTACCATTACATGGTACTTTGTCACCATGTTATAGAAGAGGAAACTGGGGCCCAGAGAGAGGTAGATTACTTGATCATGGTCACACAGCTAGCAGTGGAACTGAGATTCAAACCCTGGCAATCTTGATTCTGGAGCCTGCACTCTAAACTACTGTAGTTCATTCAGTTTCTGAGGAGGAAAAATACAGTAGAGCTGCTTTGTCCAGTGTGGTCACCACTAACTACAGGTGGCTATTGAGCACTTGAAATGTGGCTAATCAAACTGAAATGTGCTGTAAGTGTAAAGTACACACCTGATTTTACAGGTTTAATGCTGAAAAAGGTATCAAGTATTTTAACTTTTTTAGCGATTAAATTATTCAATAGTAATATTTTAGATAAATAAAATATATTAAAATTAATTTAACCCTTAAATTTTTTTAATGGGGTTACTAGAATTTCATTTCTATTGGACAGTGCTATTCTAGAGAAAACACTGGACTGGCAGCTTTTTTTTTTTTATCCTCACCCAAGGACATTTTTCCATTTTTTGTTCAGGTAGAGTGGGAGGGAGAGAGAGGAACAGAGAGAGAGAGAAGCGTCGATGTGAAAGGAACACATCGAGTGGCTGCCACCCGCACAACCGACCAGGGCCGGGGACAAACTGCAACCGAGGTACGCGCCCTTAGCGGGAACCGAACCCAGGTCTCTCAGGACTGCAGGCCGACGCTCTAACCGCTGAACCAAACTGGCCAGGGCTGGACTGGCAGCTTTAAATATTTAGCACACATCCAGAAAATGTCTACCAGCCTTTAATTCACTAGGCATTGGACTAGGTGAGAACTTGTAGGAACACAAAGCAGAATGAAACATTCCCCACAAGGAACCCACAGACCAGAAGGCAAGATGGGTGTCTGTTCTTTTGATTCAGTTAAAGTTTAGCTGACCGATCACATTATCTGTTATTGATTTTTGCTTTGATTAGGTGTCTGCCTGTATCCCAGTGTTCAAGCTGGCCAGACGGCGTAAGAAGATCTTGTTTTATTGTCACTTCCCAGATCTGCTTCTTACCAAGAGGGATTCTTTTCTTAAACGTCTGTACAGGGCCCCTATTGACTGGGTAGAAGAATACACCACAGGCATGGCTGACTGCATCTTGGTCAACAGCCAGTTCACAGCTGCCATATTTAAGAAAACATTTACATCCCTGTCTCATGTAGACCCCGGAATCCTCTACCCATCTCTGAATGTTACCAGCTTTGACTCAGCTATCCCTGAAAAGCTTGATGATCTAGTCCCAAAGGGGAAAAAATTCCTGTTCCTCTCCATCAACAGATATGAAAGGAAGAAAAATCTGACTTTGGCTCTAGAAGCCCTAGTAAAGCTGCGTGGAAGATTGACATCCCAAGACTGGGACAAGGTCCATCTGATCATGGCTGGTGGTTATGACGAGAGAGTCCTGGAGAACGTGGAACACTACCAGGAATTAAAGAAAATGGTCCAGCAGTTTGACCTTGACCAGTCTGTGACCTTCCTGCGCTCTTTCTCAGACAAACAGAAAATCTCACTCCTCCATGGCTGCACATGTGTGATTTACACACCAAGCAATGAACACTTTGGCATTGTCCCTTTGGAGGCCATGTACATGCAGTGCCCGGTCATTGCTGTTAACTCAGGAGGGCCCTTGGAGTCCATTGTCCACAGTGTCACAGGGTTTCTGTGTGAGCCTGACCCAGTGCACTTCTCAGAAGCAATTGAAAAGTTCATCCATGAACCTTCCTTAAAAGCCACAATGGGACTGGCTGGCAGAGCCAGGGTGAAGGAAAAGTTTTCCTCTGAAGCATTTACAGAACAGCTCTACCAGCATGTCACCAAACTGCTGGTATAATCAGATTCTTTTAAGGTCTTTATGCTACATTCATTAATATCATTTTATAGATTGTAGACCCAGTTTAAAACCATAAAAGAAACCTAGAATCTAGTGCTGAAGAGTTAAAAAAAAAAAAAATTACACTTGAATCTTGAATCTGAGCCACCTTCCTATATACCATACCGTCCTTAATACTTTTTCAGAAAAACAATCTTTTATGCTATAATAAGTCTGAGTCTTATCAGTATTGATTAAGATACAATGTAATTCCACTTGTTAATTATATTTTCTCTAGAGTATTACTGCTCTGCCTATAAATTGTGAGTCATATTGTGTCTTAATTGGTTTTGATAGTTTGTGTATCATTGTCAAAGTTGAAGAATTTGGCTTCATAACATAATGAGAACATGGTCACTCTGGTTCCCACTATCAGTGCACCTAAGTGGTCCCTGTCCTTTGGGAAGTTATAGTTAGTCATACCTTTGTCCGGATCCATAGCAAGAATGCTCTGTATGTTTCTTACAAAGATGATTTTATTGTATTTTTTCACACTGAAACAAGTCAATAGAAGATGTTTACCATAGGAAAAGACAATAAAATTAAATTTTGGCTTTTGTGATCTATACGTAGATATGACTGTCAAGCCTGAAGTCAGAAACCAAGAGTAAATTGGATGTTGAAGCGAAGAAGGAATGTTGTCACACATGTAGTGTTATATTGCTTAGATCTTATTTCTTTTTTTTTATCCTCACCCGAGGACATTTTTGCATTTATCTTCAGATAGAGTGGGAGGGAGAGATAGAGAAACATTGATGTGAGAGAGACATGAGTAGTTGCCCCCACACAACCCCAACTGGGCTGGGGACAAACTGCAACCGAGGTACGTGCCCTTAGCAGGAACCGAACCTGGGACCCTGGTTTGCAGGCCCACACTCTAACTGCTGAGCCAAACACACCAGGGCTTAGGGTTCATTTCTTCATGTCTTCTGATTCGTCAGCTGTGTTAACATTTCTGTGTTGTATTTAGTAAGATTCTACTAACTATAAGGCACAAATGTTTTTTACCCTTCAAGGCTTTCTTCAAGCCACTGCTGTGGAGCTTTCCTTGACCCTCCACCTATCTCCCAGAGTGCAAGTAATCATCCTCTTCCATGTAGTCTACCCCTTTTATGGCACTGGCCACTCATAGTTCATTGTTCACCTGTTGGTCTAAGTACAAATAAAGCACTTTTCAACAATCCCTTAAAGCTAAATTCATTTAAAAATAATAATAATAATAATAGCCAAGATTGCCCTGGCCAGTTTGGCTCAGCAGTTAGTGTCAGCCCGTGGACCAGAAAGTCCTGGGTTTGGTTCCTGCTGAGGGCACATACCTTGGTTGCAGTTGTCCCTGGCCCCAGTTAGGGTCATGTGGGTGGAAACCACTCGATGTGTCTCTCTCACATCAGTGTTTCTCTCTCTTCCTCTCTCCCTCCCGCTCTATCTGAAGATAAATGCAAAATGTTCTCGGGTGAGGATGGAAAGAAAAAAAAAATAGCCAAGATCACTAGCCAAAGGCTCCATATTAATCCATTCTAAGAGCACAGACCTGAAAGCTTTGGGCAAATTACTTTTCTCTGTGCCTCAGCTTCTTCACCTGTGAAGTGGGACAACTATACTATTGTACTTTTCTCATGGGGTGGTTATGATGGATTACAGTACCAAAAGGGAGTTCTTTAAAATGAATGTCAAATACAGTATATTGTCTTGTATGGAATGCAAAGTTCTGTTTTTTTCCTTTTCTTTGGTAATGTGAAATTTTACCATCCAGTAAAGTAGGTCATCCCCTTTCTGTAGCATGGTGCATATGTTTCTCAGGGAACTGCAATCTCAGAAAGGTCTGGTGGCTCTGACCACTGGGTTTAAGACAGACAGTTCTGATCCATAACTGATCATGCTCTGATCCATGATTGGCACTTACACATTCCAAGCACTAAAACGTTTGCCTATTTGACCTTTCTTTTTTTTTTTTTATCCTCACCCGAGGACATTTTTCCATTTTTTATACAGATAGAGTGGGAGGGAGAGAGAGGGAAACATCGATGTGAAACGGACACATCGAGTGGCTGCCACCCGCACGATCAACCAGGGCCTGGGACAAACTGCAACCGAGATACATGCCCTTAGCGGGAACCGAACCAGGGTCTCTCCGGACCGCAGGCAGACGCTCCAACTGCTGAGCCAAACCGGCCAGGGCAGACCTTTTTTTTTCACATTCTTCCAAAACAGGCTACATGGACTCATAGGCCTTGAGTTTAATTCCCCTTCATTGTCTTAAGCCCTAACAGGTGACAATAAGACTATCCATTTGGGAAAGATGCAGAGCCGTGCCTGCCAGGAGCTTCCAGCTTCTGATACATTGACCTCTGGCTCCTGGATCTAGAATGGAACTTTGCCCATAGGAGTATTTACATCTTCCAAAACTAAGCTGAAGTTAGGGAAAAGGGAAGCACAGAACAAAGTGAATTATCTATGCTCTTACCAATAGTAATTCTAGCATTTACTGTGTGCTGATCATGATATGAGATGCATAGCAGAAGATGGTGGCATGCAGGACTGGAGTGAGGGTGAGTGTGTGAGAGAGAGTGTGAGTGGACAAGTAACCTCGAGCAGTGCAGAAACGTGGGGCAAAGGGTTCCTGTGCTGTGGACAGGGAGCAGCCAGCTACTGCGGTAAGTGGCTTGTTGGGGCACTTCCTGTGAAGCTGGAAGGCCCCACTGTTTTGGGAGATTCCTGGTTTTCTCTGAGAGTAGGCAGCAGGAGCGGCTAGGGCCAACTGACCTGAGTCCACCAGTGAACCTTGCACCATCGGACCAGTGGACCCCGTTGTGTCAACGCAGACCAGTGCACAGTAGCGGCACTGTCAAGGTGCCTGCTGCAGGAGCCGAGCACTGTTCCCCATAGCAGCAACCTGATCAGAGCCCAGCACCACCCCCAGCAGCAGTAGTGCCAGCGTGGGAGCCCAGCACCTTCCCCCACAGCAACAGTGACTGGACAGGAGTTGAGCCTCACCCCCAGCAGCAGCTGAGGCTCAGGAGCCAAGACACACCCAAGCAACAGTAGCACCACCACCTTGGGAGCCCAGCACCTTCCCCCACAGCAGCAGTGACTGGGTGGGAGTGGAGCCCCACCCCCAACAGCACCTGAGGCTTGGGAGGCCTCAGCAGCTGAGGCTCAGAAGTGGACATTCATCCCGAGGCAGCAGCACAGATTGGCAGCTGAGACCCATCCCCAGCAGGATCAGCAGAGGCTGATCAGAAGCAGTGCCACAGCCCAAACAGCAAGACTTGGGCAGTCGAGACCTGCCCCCGACAACTGCAGCAGCAGATTTGGAGTGGAGCCCCTCCTCCAGCAGCAGCAAAGTCCCAGGAGCTAAGCATCCTCAGCCCCTAACAGTAGCAGAGGATTGAGAGTGCCCCCTGGCAACAGCAGCAGCAGTAGTAGTGCAAACCAGGAGCTGACACATGCCCCAGCAGCATCAGCAGTGACTGATCAGAAGCTGAGCCCCACCAGGCAGCAGCACACCAGCTGGACCCATCCGCCCCAGCAACACCTACTACAACAGACCATTACCAGTCGCCAGTTGTCAATCCTCCAGGACCCACAGTAGACAAGAGGCGCCACACACCAAAACAGTCTGGGAGGCACAGCAGCCTTATTTGATACACACTGACCTGCCTACCTATCCCAACATCCCTCACCAGGCCTAGAACTACCAGATTGCTAAAACAGTGAGACAAAGAAACAACACCCAAATGAAAGAAAAGGTGGAATCACCAGAAAAGGAACTACAGGAAATGGAAGAAAGCAATTTGTCAGATAAACAATTCAAAGCAGTGATTATAACGGTGTTCAAACAATTTAGTGAGAACCACAAGCAACTTAATAACAATTATAAAGAGCTCAGTGGGAACTACATCAACTTAAAAAAAGAGGTAGACACTATGAATAAAAATCAAGAGGAAATAAAGAATGACATAGCTGATATGAAAAATACCTTAAAAGGTCTTAATAGTAGATTAGAAGAAGCTGAAGACTGAATCAGCAAGTTACAAGGCAAGGTAGAAAAAAACACACGGCCCTGGCCGGTTTGGCTCGGCAGTTAGAGCATCAGCCTGTGGTCCAGAGAGACCTGGGTTTGGTTCCTGCTAAGGGCATGTACCACAGTTACAGTTTGTCCCCAGCCCTGGTTGGGTTGTGTGCGTGGCAGCCATTCCATGTGTCCCTTTCACGTCAATTTCTCTCTCTCTCTCTCTTTCTCCCCTGCCCCCCTCTCCCTCTCTCTCCCTCCTACTCTATCTGAACAAAAAGTGGAAAAGTGTCCTTGGGTGAGGATTAAAAAAAAAAGAAAAAAACACTCAAATAGTTCAGCCAGTGTGGCTCAGTGGTTGAGCATCGACCCATGCACCAAGAGGTTGCCAGTTCGATTCCAGGTCAAGACACATGCCCAGGTTGTGGGCCAGATCCCCAGTGGAGGGCATACAGGAGGTGCCCAATCGATGTTCTCTTTCATCGATGTTTCTATCTCTCCCTCTCACTTCCTCTCTCTAAAATCAATAAAGGAAAAAAGAAACTTAAAAAACACACACACACAAATAGAGCAGCAAATGGGGGAAAAATTAAAAAGCAGGAGGAGAGTTTAAGGGAGTTGGGACAATACAAAATGTGACAACATTTGCATCATAGAGGTACCAGAAGGAGAAGAATCAGAGAAAGGAATAGAGAATTGTTTGAAGAAATAATTACAGAAAACTTCCGTAATTTGGTAAAGGAAAAAAGTCACACAAATCCAGACACAGAAAGTTCAAGCAAGATAAACCCAAAAAGACCCACAGCTAGACATCATAATTAAAATGGCATACATTAAAGGCAAAGAAAGAATCTTAAAGGAAGCAAGAGAGAGACAGAAAGTTACCTACAAGGGAGCTCCCATTAGACTGTCAGCTAATTTCTCAATAGAAACACTGCAGACCAGAAGGGAGTGGTATGAAGTATACAAAGTAATGAAAGGCAAGGGTCTGAATCCAAGACTACTCTATCCAGCAAAGCTATATTCAAAATTGAAGGTGAAATAAATAGCTTCACAGGCAATAAAAAAAAGCTAAAGGAATTTATCACAACCAAATCAGCACTGCAAGAAATGCTAAAGGGACTGCTGTAAGGGGGGGGGGGGGGGGGCACAGGCATAAAATAAAAATGGCAACTAATTATTATTAATAACTTTAAATGTAAATGGTTTAAATGCTCCAATCAAAAGACAGAGGGTAGCTGATTAAATAAGAAAATATGACCCATATATATGCTGTCTACAAAAGACACACAGGATGAAAGTGAAGGGATGGAAAAAAATTTTCCAGGCAAATGAAAATGAAAAAATAAAAAAAAGCTAGTGTAGCAATACTGATATCTGATAAGATAGACTTCAAAACCAGGGCCATAATAAGAGACCAAGAAGATCACTACATAATATTAAAGGGATCAATTCATTAAGAGGACATAAGCCTGGTAAACATATATGCACCAAAATATATTTTAAAACTTCTGGAGGACTTCAAGGGAGAGATCAATAGCAATGTAATTATAGTAGGTGACTTGAACACCCCACTGACACCACTGGATAGATCTTCTAGACAAAAAATTAACAAGGACACAGTCCTTAAATGACAAATTAGATCAGTTGGATTTAATTGATATTTACAGAACATTTCACCTCAAAGCTTCAGAATACACAGTCTTATCAAGTATACAAGGGAATTTCTCAAAGATAG